GGTCGCCAAGCAAGGCTGTCCTCCATTTTTTTTGTCCGCCTTTTTTTTGTCCGCCATTTTTCCCCCCTTTTCCGGCAGGTGCCTTACCTCCCTTGGGCTGGGCCAGCTGGTGGTCGGCCTGCTCCGTCTCTGCCGCTTGCCAGCTACGCCTCGGCCGGCGCAGGGGGCGGAACCACGCATGTGCGGCGCTCCCTGGCAGGGAAAGTCCTCGACTCACGACCGGTTGGGTAGTCCTCGACTTACGACCGGTTTAGTCCTCGACTTATGACCGGTTTAGTCCTCAACTTATGGCCGGTTTAGTCCTCGACTTACAACCGGTTGGGGTCGCGGCATTAAAAAGGTTGAGAACCACTGCTCTATCCAGAATGCTGCAGTATAACAGCACCAAAGCAGAAGTAGTCAAGCCTTTATTACCTACACAGCAATTGGTAGCCCCAGTGGTTACGAGATCACAAAAGAGAACACCCATGCCAGTGGACAGTGCTACCTCAACAGTGTTCAAACAAGCCTTAGAGAAAGACGAGTGGTTTTTAAAGCACAAAAATCTGTGTTTGATTCAGGATGGACTAGCATGGGTGGGGGGGCAAGTTGTATGTCCCAGCCACGCAAAGATTAAGAACTATGCAAGTCTCCCACAATTCCAAACTTGCAGGACATTTTGGATTTGTTAAAACACTACACCTAATAAAAAGGCAGTTTTGGTGGCCATCGCTGAAAAAAGACATTGAAAGATATGTCACCATCTGCCCTACATGTGCTATGGCAAAACAAAGGCAAGGAAAAAAGCCATTGAAAGCTATGTCACCACCTGCCCTATGTGTGCTGTGGAAAAATGAAGGCAAGGAAAAATGCCGGGTCTTTTGCAGCCGGTAGCAAGCACCCTGGAGAGAGATCTCTATGGACTTTATTATGGAACTGCTGGAGAGTGCAGGAAATACAATTAATTGGGTCATGACTGACCTGTTCTTAAAACAAGTCCATTTCATTCCATGCCAGAAGATTCCCAACTGCCAAGATCCTAGCTAGTTCATCCAACCCACATATTGATTGCATGGAGTCCCTCAGCACATAATTTCAGATAGGTGTGTCCAGTTTACCTCTAAGTTCTGGAGGGCCTTTTTGGACTTTTTGAGTATTGAACAAGGCTTGAGTTCTAGTCATCATCCTCAAACGAATGGGGGGACAGAATGAATGAACTCAGTTCTGGAGCAGTACCTTAGATGCTTCATTAACTACCAGCAAGACAATTGGACTGACCTCTTGCCATTTGCTGAAGTGGCATATAATAATGCTGTCCACCCCTTTCAAGTAGCCACTGGGCAGGTGTTCAAACCAATGCCTGAACTAGCAACCAATGAACCAACCATCCCTTCCTTAAGGAATGGTTGATTCAGTTGCAAAACACCTGGCCGGTAGTCAGGAAGGCTCTAGATAAAGCCAGGGATGCCTATAAAGCTCAAGTTGATAAGAAAAGAACAGAACCCAAACCTTTCTGTATTGGGGATAGAGTGTACTTATCCACTAGATTTCTGCCATCACTGTAACCTTCTAAAAAACTAGGGCCCAAGTTCGCAGGCCCCTTTCCCATTAAGCGCATCATAAACCCAGTCACTGTGGAATTGGAACTCCTTAAAACCCTATGGCAGGTTCACCCCATGTTTAATTGTAGCTTGCTGAAACCAGAAATAACCTCACCTTTAAAACCAAAAGCCACAGCCCATTATGGTAGAGGGTGAACAACACTTAGCTTTGTGTAGGCATCATGGGGCTGTCCAATATTTGGTGGCCTGGAAAAATCTACCACTTCTCAGAATGAATGGATTCACAAAAAGGATATTAGGGCCCCTAGACTACTTAAATGCTTCCATGAACGTTACCTTGATAAGCTTTATTGATCACCTCTTCCATTTTATTGTTTTCTCTCTCCTGCAGATGGATCTCCCATTCTTTTAGGGGGGTGCCATGTCAAACCCTCAACTTTTATATTCCTTTTTACTTTTGCGTTCTGCCATTTTGCTGGGAGGGGGAGGTTGCTCTGCCAGGCTGTTGGGAGGGGGGGAGGTCTGTCAGTGTTTCCTCCACTTTGTTCTATACCCCTTTGATGCATCTGGATGTTAACAGGAGAGGAATGAGCCCTGGGCCATCTGTCTTATCTCCACTACAATGGGAGGAGGATGCGAGGAAACAAAATACTGAGAATAGTGCCTGGGAACTGCACTTATCACCTCGGTTCCCATAACAACTTTGCACCTGATTTGACCATTGAGGTGGGGTTTGAAAGGGATGTTTTAATGTAATGTTTCACACAGGAAAACATTAGATTTTGCTTTGCTCTTCTGCTATCACTGACTCTCAATAAAAGTTCCTTTTGAAACAATGCCTGTTTCAAGAGTTCTGCTTTCTTGGGAGGACTAGCTGAGGCAGGACCTTACACTGTGTCCAGACTGTCTTCAGAAAGGCCAGGACACACTGCAGCACCACAACACTAAGAAAAGCAGACGAGAAATGGCTGCTTGACGACTTTGTCTGTAACAACTATCAAAAAAACTTTATATTCGACACACAGCACCCAAACCACAATATACCATATAGCCAACTACCACGCAAAAACTAACCCTATCATACACAAAAGGGGTATTGGAAATGACAGCCAGAATTCTCCAACCCCTAGGAATAACAATAGCCCAAAAACCCACAGCCACACTCTCCTGGGAATTATCCAGAACCAAAGACAAGATACAGAAGGATGAAAAAAACAATGTAATCTACAAAATCAACTGTAACCATTGTAACCAATTCTATGTGGGATAAACATCACCTAAATTAAAAACCAGGATCCACGAACAATCAAATGTCACAATCCCAAATCTTTAAACTCTACCCACACTGACATCAAACAATACCAGTTCGACTGGAGCAACACAAAAATCATTGGCCACGCTACCACCTGCCACGCTCATGAATTCATCGAAGCCTGGCACTCCACAAGCAATTCCATCAACAGACACATTGACCTACAACCAGCGTATGAGACAGCACCAACTTTCAACCAACCCACACAAGCCTCCCTCCCACCAGCAGTTCACCTCCCAATGACCCTGACCTGATGTAACTTCCCCATCACAAGACTCACTGATGACTCACACCTGACCCATCACAAGACACATCACAGACTCTCACTTGACGCACCCACACCTGAAGCCGTTATAAACAGAAGAACACTGACACTGACATCCCCTAAACTCTGCTGAAGATGTTATCCAATCTGGTAACGAAACCAACTCACAAGCTCAGAGAACGAACCTTCACCTTCATGAACAGCAATAACCAGTGGGGTTATTGAGAAGATGGACTTTATTCCTAAAATATCTTCTGTTCAGTTCATAGTTAACTTTGTATATCTTGGTAGAACTAATTTCACATAAGTGTTCAAACCAATATATTTTATCATATTTTATTCCATCATTCTGTTTCATTATAATGGCCTTTTTAGATGTATATGCTTCATTTAAATAATCATTAAGACTTGGATTTTTATTTATTTATTCTGAACTGAATTTCACAGATATGCCCAAAACATTTGAAATCAATGTGGCTGCTAAAAAAGAATAGTGCTTGATTTGTAATCAGGAATAATCAGCTGCTGAAATTTGGAATATGATCATACCTTATTTTCTGGTACAAAATAATTTGTTTCTTTAATAACTGTATACTATATATTGCTTCATATATTTTTATGGATAAAATATGCCATTGAAATTCCCACAGGATTATGTAAAAAGAAATTAATAAATATAGCTGTCTAATTTGTCTAAACACCAATGGTTGTGTATTCCATTTTACTATTAAATCAGGTAACTTGTGATCCTTTAGATTCTAGAAGCTTTTTAATTACCATTCCTACTGTCTGTCACCATGCCATGCTGGCTAGATGTAAGCATTGAAGTTCAGCAAAAAGGAAGTTTAAAAAAAAACAAACCTAATTTTCATTGAGTTAATCCCATCCCCACCTCCCACTACTATAAATCTTTTTCTCAGGTGTATAAAAATAATTCCAGATTAGGAATAGAATTTTTTTGCACTTGTTTCTGTACAATTATTCTTAAGACATTTATGAAGTATAATTGTTGAAGACCTTCATGATTTGGAATACAATCTACCATGCATTATCTTGCCTAAACCCTTCTTAAATAAATTAACGTCACCATTGTAGCTATATTGCCATATTTTATTTGAAGAATGTCTTAAACTGAGTTAAACTGCATAATATGTCTAAATTTCTTTTAAAGGTCACTTGAAAACTTTCCTTTGGCAACTAAATAAAAGTGACAGTGAATCCACAACAAGCAGTCTTTTCCTAATTAATTACACCTTGACATTTAATCTTAAATCTCTGAAAATTGTTGAATGCATAGATGTATTGGTATGTGCATGCATTAATACCTATAATGCTACAATAAATAAAATAGAAAAATAATAATTTCATAGAAACCATGTTTTTGTTTACAGGAAGGTGCAAAAAAGTATACTAAAACTGTGACAAACCTTTTTATATAGAAATATTTTTGGGCTATTATACAGATAGTCCTCAACTTGTGATCACAATTGAGTCCAAAATTCACGTTATTAAGTGAGCATTTGTTAAGTGAGTTTTGCCCCATTTTATGACCTTTCTTGCCACAGTTGTTAAATGAATCATTGCAGTTGTTCAGTTAATAATATTGTTATTAAATTAATCTGGATTCCCCATTGACTTTGCTTATCAGAAGGTCACAAAAGCTGATCACCTGATCCCTGGACACTGCAACTGTCATAAATATGAACCAGATGCCAAACATCCAAATTTTGATCACATGACATGGTCATAAATGTGAAAAATGGTCATAAATCCCTTTTTCCAGTGCCGTTGTAACTTTGAATCGTCACTAAATGAACAGTTGTAAGTCGAGGACTACCTGTATTGCCAGGAATATAAACTTTCTTGTATCACTTTGCTACAGGGCATAATGCAAGATGTGCAATTTCTTATCATGCCTCAAGGATTTATCTCTCAGTGCCCAGATCTTAATCGCAGTAAGTCCTCTAGTTTTTATGCCACAATATCCAGTATGATGGATCTTGTTTAATTTTTTATACACTAAGATTAGTTCTTAAAATGTATTGCTCTTCAGTGCAACTTGAGATTGAAAGGACAATCTTATGAATGTCTATAGAGTTGCTATTTGTATTAAGTTCAGTCAGCTTTGGTAGATATATACGATAGCAATTTTTTTGCTTAAAGGAAGTACAATGGGATCAATGCAGTGTTTGTAATTTCAGCATGCCCAACGTGTAATGACTTCCATGGTCTTGTGCAGAAAATAATGGAGTTGCAGGATATTTTAGCCAAAACATCTGCAAAGGTAATAAGCTCTTCAGAAGCTTTTTAGTGAACTGAATAACACTAACTTATTTCACTTAAACAACAACAAAAATTGATTTGAAGTGCAGTTTTTACACAAATCTAACGTTATTGAAAATCTAAGTAAAGCTTCTTTATGAACTACTTATAATATGTATATGTAATTATTGCATTCATTCATTGGAAGTATCAGGTAATTTACTCACATTGTGGTAACATTGTTGCTGTTAGTTTAAACTGATAAAATATAAGACATTTTTAATATCAGTGTTCTGAAAAATGATCCTAATTTGAAATATAATTGATTCAACAAATGAATATATGACTTGTTTTTAGCATTGTTATACCTAATAGCTTGGTCTTCTTGGATTAATTCTATATAATTAGATGATTATATTATTACCATTACTGTATTACTATATTAATTACCTGAAATGATAATTACATAGCCTCAATTATGCTAAGAAATTCCCTAAGTGCATGAAATTTTATTGTAAAATTGCCATTAAAAGCAAAAGAAAGAAGAAAAACTGAGAGAGAGAATAAGTTAATAAAAGTTATCTCTGTATACTATGTTAATTAGTTGGGGATCTGTTTATTATTCCATAAAGAAGAAATAACATTCTTTCAAAATATTGTGTGAAATATAGGAAACACCTAGTATACCTCTAAAGTAACAAAATGCATTGGCACATAATTGTGCAATTTGATATTTGATTCTTAAAATATTAACAGTAATGTTTAGAACAATTTCACTCCCTCCTAATAGTCAATTGGACATGCTACAAAATTTAAAGTGTTGAATTAGGTACTTATCATAAGAGAAAATGTAGCATATTCAAATTAGTGGTCATAAGAAGTTAAGACCTTTCCTTAACTGCTTTCATTTTTAGTTCAAGCTAGGATCAAAATTTCTGTTTTCATATTTAGCAATATTCTTCTGTAGATTGAGATGAATTACATAGTGAGCTTAATTTGTGAAGCCATATCTTTCTGCAGTTAACAAATCTCTTTCTGTAACCTAGCTGTCCCGAGCTGAGCAGAGGATGGATAAGTTGGATCAGTGCTATTGTGAAAGAACCTGCACTATGAAGGGTATCAGCTATAGAGAATTTGAATCTTGGACAGATGGCTGTAAGAACTGCACTTGCATGGTATGAGTGTAAATTTTAAAAAATTCTAGGACCTAATTGTATATTAAAAATGCTTATGTGTTTTGATAAAAAAAAAATTATCAAACCAAATTACTTAAAAGCAAAAGAAATCCTAGTGGCCAAAAAATTGCAGAATCTGTAATTAGGCCAACCAATGTTATAAAATCATATGCATAATTTTTATAAATTTTATTTACATTATAATATAAGTTGTAGATTCTCTTTTAAAATGTTGCATCATGCTTTTAGACGAATATTTTTGATGAAATAGAGCTATTCTAATATTCTAATGCTGGGAAATATCAGAATCAGCAAAAGTATTGCCCTTCCAGCCTGTTCTCCCTGTGGGTGATGTTTGTTTATTTATAGCTTTTATATGGCTTTCCAATTCACAACATGACTTGGGTAGCACTAAAAGAACCAATAGAAAAAATAAGACAAAATAACAGTACTAGGTATAACGAAGGTATAACTATTAAAAAGCCAAAAGGGGCTCAAATTTGTTAAATGTCACCAGAAGGGAATTCATTCTAAACCAAATGCCTGAGGAAATAGCCTGATCTACTCTGTTACAATGAATAATAGGATTTATGGTCAGAATGTATTAAAATATGGCTAAAGCTTATAGAAAATAGAAACTTGAGTGACAGGTTAATAAAGCAAAGAAATAAGTGTAACAAATTCATTTCATTTCAGTGGAACTGATATAAGGAGTATGTTAAAAATAGCAGATGGCTTTAGGATCAGTTCACAATTATACTATATTTTATGCTGTAGGATAGTGGTTCTCAACCTTTCTAATGCCGCGACCCCATAATACAGTTCCCCATGTTGTGGTGACCCCCAACCAGTTATACATCGCCGGGTGCCAGGGGCGTGGCCAAGTGGGTGTGGCCACCAAGTGGGTGTGGCCACCATGTTGTGGTGACCCCCAACCATAAAATTATTTTCGTTGCTACTTCATAACTGTAATTTTGCTACTGTTATGAATAGTAATGTAAATATCGAGGACTTCCGGTGGCAGGCGATTTCGTCGGTCGCAGCTGTTTGCTGCCTCCCGCCTGTTTTGCGTAAAAGCCGGTTTGACAGCTAGCATCTGCTGTCAAACGGCTTGATACCTTTCCCCTGGGCATAAGGGGATAGGTGAGCTGCCCGGGGTAGGAGTTGAGTTCCCGAGTCGTCCTATATGGACGATGTAGGCGA